TATGAAAACAGGCTGAGGGAGCTGAGCTTATTCAGTCTGGAAAAGAGAAGGCTCTGGGGAGACCTCATTGCAGACTTCTGGTACTTAAAAGGAGCCTGTAATCAGGAGCTGCTCTGCTGACCTCAAGCACTGTGTGAAAGTTGGTGGTAGTTGGTTATATCGTAGGTGCCACGATATAAGAAGGACATAAAATTATTAGAGAGTATCCAAAGGAGGGCTGTGAAGATAAGAATGGGTCTAGAACAGAAGAAGTATGAGAACTAGTTGAGGTCCCTTAGTTTATTCAACCCAGAGAAATGGAGTCTGAGCGAAGGCCTCACAGCAGCCTACAGCTTCCTCAGAATGGGAGTAAGGGAGTGGATGGGCAGTGCTGGTCTCTGCTCCTGATTACAGTGACAGTACCTGAGGGAATGGCACAGAGATGCGTCATGGGAGGGTCAGGTTGGGGGAATTAGGAAAAGTTGGTCAGGCCCTAGAACAAGATGCTCAGAGGTGGTCATGGCACTGAGCTGCCAGAGTCCAAGAAGCATTTGGATGATGCACTCTGACATAGGGTTTAAATTTTGGGTGGTCCCCTGTGGAGTCAGGAGTGGTGATTGCCTGAAGGTCTCTTCCAACTTGTGATATTCCATGATTCTATGATTTCTGCCTGCATGAAGCATATGGTTACAGATCCAGATGGACACAGATCCCCAGATGGATACAGACTCATGTCAAGAACAAAAAAAGGGCTGTGGCATGCAGCAAGGATGCATGGGACAGTTCATATTCCCAAGGGTGCCTTGTGCAATATGGATGCATCTAAGTCATTCTTAAAACAAGCAAGAAGTTCAGTAGTGTGGATGCCAACACAGTGATCCTACACAGTCCTTGGGATTTTCTTGTGATGAAGCATAAATTAATCCTTTATTTTTCAGTTTTCCATTGGGAAAATGTGGAAAAATAGTACCTTAGTCACAGTAATTCCATACTGGGAAAATATATTAACAATTGGCTTATGCTTAGAAATTATGGTAACATGGATCAGAGAAGAAAGCTATATATTGCCACATAACCACTAGAGATAAATAAATCTATAAATAAAGCCTCTAAGTACTCCTGCAATACAAATAATAAATAAAAGGCAAAAAGACTTAGTCATACATGCAGGTGGATTTCCAATTATGGAGGAAGCACTTTTACAGAAACCAGAGTGGAGCACATTAAGTGGGATGGAGAAGAGAAAGGTAATAAATCACTGTACAAATAAATTATTCTGAAAAATGGCCATCACAGTCAAATGTATGTTCTTAAACTTCTGGAATGCAGTTTTTTCTAGTAAATTGAATAAAAAGACAGGTAAGAAGTATATATGAGCTTCCTCCAACACATATAAAAGCTACCTTTTCCTGAAAAAAAAAAAACCCACCCACAAAATAAAATATTGATACCCACGTAGCCTTCTCAATCTACACAAGGATACAAGAAGTTCTTTGAGCTGTGTAGTTAATGAAGCATTTGTGGAGAACAGTTTACCATCCTGCCAAGAATTTATAGCTCCATAAATCCTCGTGCTGTATTTTACTTTGAAATAACCTCCCTGTATGCACAAGCCCCAAGATGCAACAGCACATGTGCATGTGAAAGCTTGCCAAACTTTCCTCCAGCTGACTCAAAGAATACAAGTGTCAGAAGGGAAGAATGGAAAGTAGTAGAAGGCAGACTTTATGCTGTCAAATTTGGAGTCCTGATGGACAGGGAATCACTGCCTTTGCAGAGCACCTCTGCAGAGCAATGCTATGTACCTGCACATTGGTGCTCCATGGCCCAGTACAGATACACTCATCCAGGGCTTTCTTCTCTTCTACTGCTCTCAAAAAGCAGAAAAACAGGGCTGACAGCTGCATTCCCCCCTCTTTACTTGCTCTCCCAAGAGCTGGCTGATCCAACTGGCATTCAAACAGCCAAAAGGCTTTCTGCTTCTCCCAAACTAGGTTCTGGGATGCCTGCTGGCCCTCAGTTTTGCTATTTAGAAGAGAAAGATGAGGTAGCAGAGGGGCATTTTCTTTACCCAGTGTGTTGTTCCAGTACAACAGATGGGACTTTGCCCTTCAGCAAAGAAACCTCATCCTGCTTTTAGAGAGGAAATGATGGCTAGGATAAGAACTAGCAAATACCACATAAATACAATAAAAATGTAATTTGTGAGGTGATATTAAAATCTCTTTACAGTAAGAGCACTTTGTAGGTGCAGGAATGGTGCTATCCTACAACTCTTCCATTGCTCTAGGGCAATCTCCACACAGAACAGCTATAGCTGTTCTCTGAAGGCAAAGCACTCCTAGTGTGTGTGCAGCATATGCCAGCAAAATTCAGCTTATGCCAGCAAAATTCAGCTTTTGCCAGCATAACTTGCTCCAGCTCATCCAAATGAAGCTCCAAGCTTCATTTCTCTGTGCTGGATAAAGAGCTGTAATTGTGACATACCCACACATACGCTTTAATCAGTGTAGCTCTATCAGTTATGTCTTCATACATGGGATTAACACTGAAAGGCTGCCAAGGAAAAGTGTAGACCTAGCGTTGGCTTCTGGAGCTCATGATTTCCGACGCTTACAGATTTCAATCATGGTTAATATCACAACATTTCCTGTTTCTAATAAAAGATGTGATAAATATCTAAACAATCCTCCAGTATCCGTTACACACAGATTTATTTAGATACTTTTTCAATGCAGATAAGGCTTCAATTACAGCCAGCATTTCAAAATCACTTTAAAAATCTGCTAGGTGAACAACAGTCTGAAATGAAAGTGCTGACATGCAGCTGTCCAAAGGAAAATTCTCTAACAAACTGACATTTCATCCTATCTACATGTAAAAGTTATGCATTTAGATGACAGTGTTTGATGCCCTTTTTTTTTCCACTGAGTTTCATTTAGCACGCCATTCTTTTTACTAGATACCACTTGAGATGACTGTATGCACATGCCGATTCCCTTACATGCTTTCGAGCAGAAACCACTGTTCAGAAACTCATAACATTACTCATAACATTTTATGCCTTTGCCCTCACTTTGCAGATGCAGAGGGATAGGCTACACTACACCAGTAATCTAATTTACTACTATCAGCTTACCATCTTAAACTCAGTTTGCAGAAGGCTGTCATTATCCTCCATCTCACAAACTTCATACAGTGAAGTAGAAAAAAAAAGTACTTTTCTGAGCCACAACAGTGCCACAAATAAAAAAATAAATGCTTATTGATAAATGTCAACAATGAAATTTCCATCTGACATTGCAGTGCTTGTAGCTAAAGAGTGACTGCTACTGATTTGTAACCAGTACTCAGGATACAATCAAGATATTAGCATGAAGAAAGTACAGATTTATTTTTTTCTTTGGATCAGAATAAGAAGCCTTGCAAAACAAATTTAATTTGGGTAGAAGAGTGATAATTAACATGCAATCCAGCACTAAGCTCCCTGACAGCTTAGGGACAGAGGTCAGCCTGTGTTTCTATACACTTAAAATTCAATATTTTTAATTGTTTTTATCCATGCCTGCTGACTGTTCTCAAAAAGACAAAGCTGCTGTAGTTCACTGCATCATTAATGTGTCTCTGCATACACTGCCTAAATAATGAGAGATACTGCACCACAAAATTAAAGTTGTTGAAAAGTTGGGAATGTGAAGAGATTTCTAAAGAAAAACACTGGAGCATTTCTTCCAGCAAAATTAAGGCAAACCCCAAATGTTGGATGATATTCCCACGCTATTTCAGTAATGACAAGCTTCAGCTTAAAGTAAAACTCTTTGTGAAAAAAAGACACAATACTGGGGCAAAACACCACAGCATCACTGGGGCACTGCCCTACAGGGCTAAATACAGTGTGCCAGGAAGGGGGACAGCAGCAGTGAGACCTACTTGCCCTGAGGAAGAGATAAATGGAAAGCACAGCACCAAGTGCAATTCAGCAGCAGGCTAGCTAACTAAGTTAGGAAATCTTTAGTTCCACATCTGCAGCTATTCCTAACTACAAATGATGGCTCAGCCTAACTACATTGCATGGTGTTTCAAGCTTCCTCCTCCCGTTTTCACTCCTTACTTTCTATAGAATGCAACAGTGATGGGAAAAGACAGTCTTTCATAAAATGACAGATCACTGAAATACTGAAACTTTCATCACTTATACACTTACCACTTTTATGATTACTCTCCAAAAGTCTAAGAAAGATCGACTGGAAGAGCTTCAACCATCTTTTTAATGAAGTACAAGCAACACCTTCAGTGAAGGAAATGACCCAGCATGGTTACAGACCAGAGATTCAAAGCTGAATTCCCCAAGCAGCTGCATCAATGTAAGTGCACAGACAGCAGTGCCCTCCCAGAAGGGGGACAGCACTTGCTCCCCAGCAGCTGGGCACACTTCCCTTCTGCTAGCTGCGTGAAGGTGAGCTGCTCCCTCACTCTGCCACTGAGGAAGGATCTCCCCGGGTATCCAACAGCCCCACAGGTTCCAGCCCAGCCTTAACTTATGGACAGTTCAGTTATTGCTTGCCTGGTGCCACACACAATCCCCGTGTTCTTCGGTACTGACTACCCCGCACATAGCAGGGGGGTTGAAACTAGACGATCACTGTGGTCCTTTCCAACCCAGGCCATCCTATGATCAGGGACTCTTATCCTGAGCTTATGGAGAGGCACTGGGATGCAAAAAGCACGCCACCACTGCCCCTACGTGCAGAAAGTAGGAAAGACGTTAGCAACCACACTCTAAAGTTTCAGACGTCCCTTTTAACTCCGTCAGCACCACTTCCCTCTCTCAGCACAGCACACCCAGGAACACCCACTGCGACGGTGCGCTGACCGCAGACAGCGATCCCTTCCCGCCGCGCTCCCTCACGCCGCTCTCCCCCCTCCCACCCAGGCGCCCCCCCGGCCCGGGGCGACCCGGCCCCGCCCGCCTCCCTGCCCGCCCCACCCCGCGGCCCGCCCCGCCCGCCCTCCGCCGTTACCTGGGCGCGGGCGCCGAGCTCGGGCGGGCGGCGAGTGCCCGTGGTCTGCAGGTTGATGGGCGCGCTCTGTGGGGGCTCGCCGCCGCCGCCGCCCAGCCCGCCGTTCAGGTGCGCCGTCACCATCGCGATGGGCGCCTTGGCCGGCACGACGGAGATGGCCAGGTTCTGCGCGGGTCCGCCGCCGGGACTCCCGCCGCCGCCGCCGGGTGCCTTAAGGAGCGCCGGGACGCCGCCGGACTTGGTGCTGCCGCCGGAGCCGCCGCCAACCAGCACGGCCGCAGGGCAGCTCCGCACCGCCAGCTTCTGCGGGAGGGAAGCAGAGAGAGGAGCGTCGTCACCCCATGGCCCGCGGCGCTCCCGCCCGCAGCCTCGCCGCTGGGAGGCGGTGGGCGCCGGGTCGCGGTGCGGGGATCCCGGGAGCTGCAGGGACGCTGCGGTCTTCACACTGCCCATCCCGTTCCTGCCCCGCTCCGGCCCGCAGCACGGGGCTCGTGGTGCTGCGGTGTGCGTGAGAAACAGCAAAACGCGGCTTCTCAGACTCCCGGAGCACCGCTTCTCTACTGTGCCTGCCTCTCTCACCCACTGCCTCACTCTGAACGCTCGCTGAGTGCTCGTTCTTTCACCTTGCTCTTACTTGCGAGTCATGTTTTCTTACCTTTAAACTACGTTTTTTAATTTTTTTTCTTCTTCCTTTCAGGTGTTTCAAGCAACCTCTTCTCTAAAGCATCCGTCCTAACTCTCAGTCTCGTTGTTTTTCTTCACAGCTCTGAGATCACAGCAGAGCAGCTGCCCTCACCTGTAGCACCCAGGTATGGTACCCAAGAGCGGTGTCGGAGGTCTGTGCAGCTGTGTGGAGGGGCCACACCATATGTGTCTGTGTTTGTGTCAAATGCTCGATTCTGAAAAGCAAAAGCTTTATGGAGCTGTTGCACTTGGAGTGACCCCAGGAGCTGTTCTTAGAAATGCTGTTTTAGGTAGGCTGCGTACAGATATAGACTGTTCCCAGCCTCATCTGATACTCAGAAGTACTAAGCATCTCATTTCTTCTAGAGTTGGAAGTAAAGGTAAGTCCTGTGAAGACCTCTGCCAATGTTTGACTTTATGTGCTGTTGGCTAGAGGCTGCATCTGATGTGTGTGCAGCCTTTCAGGAGGGCTCCCCACATTTCTAGGGCTGCTGCTGTACCAGCAATGCCAGTTAGAGTTTTGTTTGTAGCCTGTTTTAAATACACTGTGTATACCAGCAGATATCAAGTCACAGACATTCTCAGTTCCTTTCAGAATCACGACTGAAAACAACACTTCTGGGAATAATGCAGAAGCCCTGTAGTTCCAAACTGACTTTTACAGAAATTGCTGCCTCCTTATCTTTAAACTCACTACATGCTTTAAAAGCCCAATGGTCTAATATGCTTGCTCTGGGGACTGCCAGTATATTTTTATGAAATCGCGTTATTACGGATACCTGCTTCATATTTTAATGTAAAGGAACATTGATCTTCCTTTTAATATATCAGCATTATTCTACTGATTGTGGTGGCTTCATATAAATCATTTTAAATTTTGCTTGCTTTTGCTTTCATATTTGTTTCCTCTACTATTGTACTGGTACGTGGGAAACGTTGCTTATGACAAAATTCTGTAAAACTGTTTATCTGTTCCATGTGAGTAGTGTGTTGTTACAGGTGCAGCACTGCTGTGTGCAGGAGAGCTGAGTGATGCCTCATCCCACCTACTGAGAACTTCCCTGCACAGCGCCTCACGAATCTGCAGCGCCAATGCAAAGCTCTCAGGTTAATATTTCAGTTTTGTGGTTATGTTTTTGCTGTGATTTATGTCATATGCACACCACTAAAGGTTCACAGATGGAAGAAAAACACTGTCTTTGTTCCAGTGATGTAAACCCATTATCTGGAAGCTAACAGCCTAGGAGTGCAATCCCAGCTCTGCTGCGTACCATCAGAGTTTTGCTGCTGACAGCAGTGGCCCGAGGATTTCTTCTTATGTGAACAGTGAAACCATTCACTATCATTGAGTAGTTCCTATATTACTAAAGTGTATTTTAATGTTTTTCCCCAGAAATGTGAATGTTTAATTACTGAATGAGTGAAAAACTTATGACAAATGCCTGGTCATACCACACTGAATTCATATTTTCATTTCAATAAAACTTTTACTGCATAATATCCTACAGGCATTAATACAACTTCACTTCTTTCTTTTTTTTTTTTTTCAGAAGCAGAAAACATCCAAGAAAACAAAACTCCATGATCCCAAAAGATACAAAAGATACACAATTTGTGCTAGCTCAGTGGAAAAGGCAAGTAAATAAGTAGGGGGTTGGTTACTGCTTGCCTGACAGAATGTAATAGGAAAGCATCATGAGAAGTACCAAAGCAGAAATTTTGAAAGGAAAAAAAAGAATAATTCACTACTCGAGCTATCATCCTTCCTTTTTCTGCTGTTCTCCCTACATGTATTAACCGTGAATTATTTTTGCACATCTTTGCATGTAATGTGTCAACGTTTTCCCAATAAACTGACGGAAGTGTCTATGTGTGCACAACAAGAACAAAAAAACTGGAGGAAATAATATGGGGCTACTGGTTGTTTCAAAATCTAGCTTGAGATGAATATTAAATGTTTTTAATATTGACCATTCCAAAACCTACTTAGGTTTTGGAGCATTTTGAAGGAAATAAAGAAAATACTGAAAGAGTTCTGTCCTTGCGATGGGCTTAAAAGGACATATCAGTCTGTGCCAGTCACCTCCACAGGGAACCATGCAATGCAGATCTTATTTAAATAACTGCACATTTTAGAAACTGTCTATGAAAGCATGGGCAACAGATCAGGTCTTTCAATTTTGTCTCCAAAAGAGTTACAGAAAGATCATCTATCTGATGAAATGCAGCTACAAAGCCTCTTCTGTATCTCATTTAAAAATCTTCTGAAAGTGTGCCTTCCAAAAGTTCAGAAAAGCCCCTTTTAGTCAGATTGGGCAAGTAGGAGAAGAGATCTTATGCTGTTTTCTTTATAATGATCGTTTTTATTCCTTGGCCCCAATAAGGCAATGATAAAGATGCATTGGTCAATGTAAAGGTTACAATATGAGAAGAAATCTTCCACACAACCTGCATTCCAAATTCACACTCTATTTCTGCCAGATTAATTAAGAGAATAGTCTTTTGTTTTAAAGCAAGGCAAAATCTGCATTTTGAGAATCAGTTGCTACAACATAGTCTCTTTCACTTTTGGAATAATGGATAATAAGAAACGAAGCACGCTTTGGACACTGCTGCAGCAAATGTGCTGATAAAATGGAAGAGTCAAAAAAGGAAGGGGGGGTGGGGGGGAGAAAAAGGAAAAACTGATTGGCTCTACGTGCTGGAAATCAGGTTGCAGCTTCCCATCCACAGCACCCCAGCCCTCACAATACACCAATTTTGAAGCCGCGCCTTTTCAATAGCAGCACAACTTTCATTTTCACCACAGGATGCCACAGGCAAAACAGAGTTTGCAATATGTATGCCGGTCACACGCAAGCCCACCCCAATGTGTAAGAAGGCTGCTTCTTGTTTATGACTTTCCATCTTGGACGTGGAATGCTCTCAACTATTCAAAGCAGAGAGAATCTTTTTTTCTATTTGTACCAACATAGTCCTGGCCCTCCTTTCCCACACACGCATGCACATGAGAAGTAAGAATCTGCTCACGTTCCTCAATGGGGAATGCCCTGTTTTTGGCTGCTCCTCCCCATAGCAGGGATTTTAACCCAGGCAGGTACCTCCCAACAGCCCCTCATGTTTTCAGAGCAGAATACGAGATGCTCAGAAAGGTCCTAAAACACACTGTCCATCATGTTTATACTTTAACGCCCATGCTGGAGATAGAGACTTCAGTCCATTAATCTCTCTAGAATGATGCTCTCCTGACAAAGTGGTTTTGCTGTGAAAAATTGCAGTTGTTTTCAAAGCAATATGGGTCCTTCTTAGCAGCCTCATGGATGAGAGAAAACCCGCCACACAACCCTGACAGTTTGCTCGCAGAAGAGCAGCTCTCCACATCCAAACTGAAATTACAGCTTCTCAATTAGTAATTTAGCACTGGTCACTAATGTAAAACCCTGCATGCCAAACAGCTGAGCAGACTCCTCTGGCCACATATGGGCCATGACCTCTGTTAATTTACTCCTTTGTCACATCAACAGTCACTTGAACAATGGGATATTTAATATTCCAAGAGTGAGAACACATAAAGGCCCTATGGCCACCAGCCATAGCACTTTGGTATCACGTCTTAGGATTTTGGTTTTCTATACACATCCAAGCTGCTACTTACTGGTGCTGCTTGATCTGAGGATTTACCAACTACCCAGCCTTAAGTACCAAGGCATAAAGATATGGGGCCGAGCATGCAGGTAGATATATATATGGGTACTGAAAGGAGCCTGGTGGGTGTTAACGGAGGAGAAGGGCCTTGTGGGGTATTCTTTATCCCAAGGTTCCCCTCAGAAATGCTCACTTTTGCATACAGCCCTTGAGTGAGAGGCTGCCTGTCCCAAGGAGAGGACATTAAGGTGTGTTTCCCTGAAACCAAGGATGGAGACACTGGCAGGGAAAAGTTTTAGGCACCATTCCTGAAATGCTGTTTTCCTATGTAGGAATGTGCAGGTGTTGCAACTGGGGGTGGGCATGGAGGAAGAAGAAGAGGAGGAGGAGAAAGTGGAGAAGGAGACAGAGGAGAGAGAGAAGGAGAAGAAGGAGGAGATGGTGGAGTAGTTCCTGTTGCCAGTTCTACTACCCATCAGCAACCAACTCTGGTTTAAGTCAGACAGAACATGACACATGGACAGGGAGGTTTGCATTTGCTGAACTTAAATCACTGCATTCTGCATTACTTTTTTAAAGCTGCTTTATCTGTTGGTTTATTCTCCTTTTCCTTTCCTTTTTTTTTTTTTTTTTTTTTGACAACTTACTGCCTGCCTGTCATTGGAAGTAAGAATGTGTTCATTTTTCTCTATCAGATCACAGTTAATTAGCCATTGTTGCAGCAGGCTCAAGGATTTAAATTCAAAGTGAAACTCATTCTAATCAAAACTGCAGCAAACTGGGGGTTTTGTTTGACTTTTGTTTGAAAGTCAGTTATTGTACCGCTGATACACATCCCATGTTACCAGCTGAGTGCTTTCAGCATCCCTCTATCAGTGTGAAATATTTAATCGGCACAAGGATCCAATCAGCGCAGCAGAGGGGAATCTAGTGTGTGCATTAATTTACTTTCAGTTGAAAAGCAGAAAAGCAGG